CCCATTCTCTCTCTCTCTCTCTCTCCCCAGCGGGCAAATTTTGTTGTTTTAACGTTGAAACAACGTTGAACCATAACGTTGAAAAGACATTGAATAAACGTTGGATTTGAAAGTTGTGTCAACCTCAGATAACAACGTTGTATCAACGTCAGAAAACAATGTTATATCAACCCCACCCAGCGGGAAATTTGCCTGGATGTGTTTAGCAGGAGGACATGTTTGATGGCTAAATATATGTAGGGTATAAATGTATGGCCTTTAAGTTAAAATTTCCAAGGTTTAGATTAAAATATATAGATCTTATATATATATGTAACAAGGTCAGAGTCACCTCAACCTGCCTACCTATAAAAGGTTACCAAGAACTGTCGACTCCATCACATTTACAGCAACTTATTCATCCTAGTGTTAGCTGACCTTGCAAACAATTCAGTTTATTGGAATGTATTTCTGAATAACAAGTTAATAAAATTCACTAGTTAACTAAAGACACAAAACAACTGTCACTTTTACTTTAAAACCATTTTGTTATTATTTTGATAAATTTAGTTACAGTATTGATAAACAAAGTATCACGTTTTCAATAATTAATATTTTAAATTACAATCCATAACTGCAAGGTTGTGTCATTGACCAAAATACAACGTTGAGTCAACGTGGCTGGATCAACGTTGATTTAACTTTGAATTTAGGTAGATCAACGGCAATTCAACGTATCAACCTGTTTTCAACGTTGATCCAACGCAACTATGCCTGCTGGGCTCTCTCTCTCTCTCTCTCTCTCTCTCTCTCTCTCAATAATAACTGCATGAAAGCATAAACCAAAGCTGAATTTCATGAAGGTGACAAGGTAACGAGAATGAATACAACTCAAACCACGCGGGAAACTATAACATATAGAATTAAATTATTGAGTTTGGATAGATTCACATAACATCATAGCTTTGTTAGACCCGGAACATGTATAATTACCCCAGTGACTGAAATACACTGTCTGTTATTGTTTTGTTACATGATTGGTCACAAAGTCAACACAATATAATTTTGACCTCACGTGACTGTCTCTTGAAAATCTAAATTTGTGATCATGTAGCAAATTGACTGCAAATTGAATGCATTCCCTATTGAAATGTTGAGTCCTGTTAAATGTATATCTGCCAAGGGTGACGCCGAACATTTTACCTTGAGCGGCAGGAACATTCAGAAACGCCAGGGTACGTTTGTAGAAGATGTCTTGTTGACTTTATATGGACATCGACTTCACCTGTCACACGAGGGGATAGTCAGTGTACGTATGATGTTTTTAGGTACATTTGTTGATTTTGCATACCTAAGATAAGATAAGTGAGAGGCTATAAAAAAACATGTCTTAGCAATGTATAAAATAACGTTATAAGAAAAACCTATATATCAGAGGGGGCTACAAAAATAAATTTGACATCCATTATTTTTATCACAATAAATAAGAGGCGTTCAGATAATGTTTTTAAAAATCCCTTTTTTCACTACAGATGGATGAAAAAGAAGTATTACTACCTTTTTGGAACGGCCGTATTAACATAACAAAGACTGTACTCGCCAACACACATGCACGGGTGTCTAAAAGTTTAATGTTTGAACCCGTGCTGCGTCTGGAGACGGCCGCCTTAATAAACATCACGTTTACTGTCCGTCACCCAGACAGCGATGGCAAACATCATCTAAGGATGGAAATTCCTGGGCAATATCGAGGAAAACTGTGTGGCCTGGCTCAGAATTTCAACGGCGACCCTTCTGATGACTACCGCCTGTGTGACGGACAGGACATCCGCCATATTGCGCCTGCTCAGATACGGGACCAAATCATAGCAGAGAGTTGTCGTGTTTGGGATGAGGTCGACGGTCCAAGGTGAGAGTGGGGTATAGAAGTTACTTGTGACCAGTTGAAGAGTAATTTTATCTTAAATTTCAATTCAGTGGACTCAGCTTGAGATACTGTACCAGCCTCGATCATTGTTGTAAACGCAATTGTTTACGCACTTTATATTGCATATATGTCTGACAGTCAAAGATAGAGGCAGAGTAAGTTGCAGCACTTCATACAAAAAGCCTCCTGTGCTAACAGATGGGTTTTGCAGTCATTTTCTGTCGTAATTTATAGCATAAAATTGAGAGGAATTCACCACTGCCGTTTTCTGTAAAACAGAAAAATAATCTATGAAAACCTTTATATGGTGACCACTTTATCTTTCAGCCCCATTTGTTAGACGACTTAGATGACAGCAGACGAATAAACATGTACCAGACTGGACACTGAATTTAACCCGACATCGTTACTTATCCTCCACCCACAGTCATTCTTTCAAGAAAGCTGAGTTATTCAAGAAAGAATTACCGGTTGTAATCCTCGTTATGATTTGATTTTCAACCATTGCTATGATTGAACGGCTTATTGATAACTGTGCAATGGAGCGCCAATTTTACAGAATAACTGCAAAGATCACACAAATAAATTCACAAACTTTGTTGTTCGTATAGCTAAATGTAACCTTTTTAAATTCATATTGTTATGTGGATCACTTACGTAACTTGACCTCGACAAACAAGGGATATCTCTTGCATTTTACCTGAAAATTAGGTTGAAATATCGAAAGTGGGCGGACTTTATAGTATGACCAAAATATCAAGTGGGATAGCTAAATGTTATCGAAATGTTCGATACATTTATATATATGATTATCAAATTACCAAAGTGGGATAGCTAAATATCAAAATATCGAACTGGGATAGCTGTATATTATATAATTAAAATATCAAGTAGGGAGTTTTATATTATATAAGCAAAATATCAAAGTGGGATAACTTTATATAATATTACCAAAATATCAAAGTGGGATATCTTTATATTGTGTTATCAAGGTATCAAAGTGGGATAGCTTTATATAATATTATCAAAATATTAAAGTGGGAAGGTTTTATACAATATCATCAAAATTTCAAACTCCAAAGCTTAATTTCATATCACTGAAATATCAAGTTCCGTAGGATTATCATATTGAAAAATCAAAATGGAAAAGGTTTATCCAGTACTCATGAAATATCAATGTGAGATCGGTTAATATAATTTATATAATATATGAAAGTGATATAGACCGATACAATATTGATGACATATCAAAGTTGGATATATTTAGATGCTATCAATTCCACACAAAATTTAAAATAAAATGTTACTGGTTAACTGTTGACTTTAATAGATTTTATCAGTATTTTATTTTACTGACGACTGGGTTAATAAAAAGTAACATGATTTAAAATAATTTCCGTCATAAATATGCGATGCTCTCTCTTATAAACATTTTGCTGTGAATCAGGAAAATTTCAACTCCTAACTCCCTTGGTATTATGGTGTCGTGGTCCCATGATGAAACATTAAAATCATCCCCCCACAGACAGTCCAAACCTCTAGTTGCACTACATTATCGAAGTGCCCATGCGCATCCCTGTCAATCACCAAATATATAAAATTTTGGGCGCGTTTAAGGATTTTACCGGCAGCGGGATCTGCAGAGAGGTTGGGTTGGGTGTCGAGGAGACATGTTTAAAACGAGTCGGACGCGATTTGAGATTTTTTTCTATTCATGTCGGCGCCATATTGGCATTAACATTTTCATTTTTTATAGTCAATGTTTTGTCAAAAACAGGGCGCCTTCTTACGGGCATGGTTCCACGGTATACGTACCGATGAATCGAAGACAACCGAATTCGAAAAGGCCAGGCGTTTCCCGTGTGCCATATGTTATATATAAAAGACTAGCTTCGGAGCATATTCCTCAGTCAGTCCTAACTGGCATTTACAGACCGCAATCGTTTGTAACTGAGAGAGGCTTTTTGTGTTTTCCCCTAAATGCTAGTACGAAAATAAATAATACTCTTAAATAAATAAATAAATAAATAAATAAAAATACTTTTAATAAATAATAGTTTAATTTTACCTCAGTGTGACATATCGAGTGACATCCCGTGGTCGTCGTATGCTTTGTATGCGAAGACTTGTTATTGAGAAAGGACCATTTTCGCGCGAAATTCAAAATTCCATGTTCATATGGCCAGAGATAAAATCCCTTGATATGGCCAACTAGAGTCAATTTCGGGGCAGTGTGACGTCAGGATTGGCACTGGCACAAATGCTGCCGTCCGTTTAATGGGCCAATGCCAGGAATCCGCGACAAAAGTCGATCCCAATGTACAGACACTTTGTATCAAGGTCTATGTAAAAAGAATGAAGACACAGCACACTGCAAACTGACAGAATGACTCTAATGATTAAAGGGATAATAACTCTTCGTATGAGATCTATATTTCACAATAAAAACATTGTGAATAACTCATAGAAATATAATATATTCTGTTTTACGACAAAAATAGCAGTTGTAGCTATTATTCTGATATCTGAGCTTGTCACGTGATCCTCCACTGATGGCTTTACTCTGTTATAATCTCTTAAGAGAGAATGTAAAAATGGATTCATTACACATTGGTAAGTATGGGGAAATTGTTGTTTACTCCAGGAAAATTCATTTTTTGGCAAAAACGAAGAGTTATTATCCCTTTAAATCAAAAACGTCTCTGTAACACGAACACCCGAGAGATCAGCGGGTGAATTCATGGGAAGATACACAGCTCAGGTAGTAAGTTTATGGGAGGACATAGAATTATATAAATGTCCAATGGTTTTCATATAATTAAAATTGGTGAATAAACCGTTATGCATAAGATTCGAAAAAGTATGTAGAAATAATGAATAAGAAAGTTTCAACAAGCCCATACGGCTGACTTGGGGGAGAAATCCATTAGAGGCTTTAATTACCCCTTTAATTGATGCAATCTTATGCTGGGATCTCGCTAATAGCTGCATTTGGTAACAACCTGTAGCACTTCATCTGTGGCCTTCTGTGACAGAAACTCATAACACGTACAGAAAGCAATTAAAGAAGTTTAACACAATCATAATGGTCCGACCTTTTATTTTGCAACTGAACTATCATAACACAAGAACGGAAGCAGTTTGGAATTTACGCGTTACTCTCAGTCGAAAACGTTACTCAATAACACTTGAATGCCAACAAGTGACAGGTTTATTCAGTCATAAAATATTGTTTAGATGTGTTGCTTCGTTATAAGATAATGGAATCTAAATCAAAGGTCTACCCTATGTAAAAAATTATAAACGTGCCAACTTCATAACATACATGTAACACGCAGCGTTTCCTTTATATATTTCATTCAGGAATGACATAAGCAGAAGCGAAAAAAATTATATTCGATTTAGCTTTACTTTCAAGATCTATTGATATTTTATCACCCTCCCAGTGACAGTTAAATTTTCCCATTCGAATTATTTTACCCATACAATGTTTATGAAAACACACCGTCACGTTTAATTCCTATACACAAGCATTATTGGTCAGCCTCAGTCTATGCGAGACAGTATTATACATGAGTTTGTCCCTGTGTGTCTAATGGTATAATAAAGATATATGATTGAACCCAGAGGTCGTCTCCATCATCGCCATTTATCTTCTTCTGCTGGGTTTACCTACTGCGTTCTCCTCCTTGTCTGAAAACATAAAACTCGATTGTCATGCATATGTTCAAAAAACATAAAGACAAAGGCTAGGACTGTGCGTGTTGATACTCTCTGTAATCTTAGTGGTGGACGCTGATGTCCCCTACAAGAACGGACAAGATGTATAAATCGCCCATCCTGTACTTGAATGTACTGGGTATTGGCAGTCAAGATAATATATATATATATATATATATATATATATATATATATAGAGAGAGAGAGAGAGAGAGAGAGAGAGAGAGAGAGGTCCCTGAGGCACCCAATATTGGGTCTATATAAACTTATCTATTCCATACAAGGGCTAAGGTATATGTAAGTATCCCCCGTCCTTAAAAATATGAATCCTAGCCCACATTGACTGTTTTCGTTCTCAAATAGTTAGGAAATCTGACTGTAATTTTAGACATTTTTGTCTCACTGCTAACACCTTTGATTAAACACTTAAAAGGATTGTAAAAAAGGTTGACATTTGGATAATATACTACTTTTTACCCCAACCTACAATGTAAGGTAATAATCGTCTTTGTTTTTCTTAAATAACATTAAAATTCGTGTGAGACTTTATAATTTCAAAACCAACAAAAAATAAATTCAAACATTTGCTTTAGAAATAATTTATCTATAAGCAGAATTTCTTTCTTGAACATATGAAAAAAGGAAAAATGAGCACGAAGGTCTGACTATGGAGCTTTTCAGTAACGCCACACCATAACAACCACACGTGCACATGCCCGCTCACACACCCGAACAGAACCCACCTTAGCCTAATGTTTCGCAGCGAACTTTGGCGACTTCACACCACAAACTCCGTATTCGTCGTGCACCTGGCAGAAGCCTCTCCCAAAGTCGTTATTTCTTGTCCCCGAGCCGCAGCGAACACGGACGCTCTTGCTGTAGGAACACTTAACGAAGTTGCACCTGCTGTCGATGTACGGGAATACTGCCAGCCAAGGCCCCTCTAGGTTATAGTCACCGTCTGGGAGATGAGCACACGGATCTACGTGTTCAGAATTCAAGAGAAAAATCTTGTGTTGAAATTAGTTGGCCTTCACTTTTTCACTTCAGTGGTATTTTTGGGTAAACTTATCAAAGTTAATGAAATTAAGTCATTAAAAGGCGTAGATAGGATGAGTATTGACGCACATATCTTATGGAAGGAATTGGATAGTGTTTACAATACTTTTCCACGTTATGCTTAGCGCCATATTTACCTATGTCATTCAGTCAAATGTACCTTTTTTACGAAAACAATGAAGATCAAATGTTTATAAAAAGATACATTTAAACAATGCTTTTAATATCAGTCACGAGATGGCCTATTTTTGGTATAAATCGCTCGAAATCTATGCCTTAAACTGTGTGCGGGAGAGAGAGAGAGAGAGAGGTGCTATTATCTACCTGCAACGACAAGCCCTCCAGACGGAATATAAAATCCACCACTTGGATAATCTGGGTGTTTGTCTCCGCCGACTGCATTCTGATACCAGCTCTTGGCAGATGCTCCTGCTGCGGATAGACCTACCACCAAAATTAAAAGGAGTCTTTTCATCTTGATTTTTCCACTCACTTTTCTTGTCTTTCAACGGCAACAAAGAACCTTTCAATTCCTCTCTGATTCAATTTCTGTTTAACTGACCACACGGTGCTTTATTTCCCGTGACAGAGGGGGTCGGACGGGGGTACCGCAAGGCCATCAAAATCTCCTTAAATACCCAGCCAAGGAAAGAGACTGGCAAATAAATGAATAAATCATCGGATAACGAAATATCCAAAATTGAGCACGATGCCAGATGTACGCTAATTGTAAAATATATGTAAACACTTTAGACAGATATTCTTAATTTCAAAGATAATTCCAAAATAAATTCAAAAATAATTAAAAATAATTACCCTTCTGTGGGTTCTTGGATCTTACAAATAATGCCTTCGTGAATTGCTAATAGTTTTTCGGAGTTCCTATCTCCCTTTTTCACCCTCACCTGTGGCGCCCATATCCTGTTCTTATGGCGGAACAATTGACGAAAAAGTCTGCCAAGCGCCGAGGGGCGTTTGTACTACACGAGAGTCATAAAATTAATACACCTGATTGCAAACGCTATGCTATTTACTATGGGTAAGTAGCTGTCATACATGTTAATAATGTATTATTGGGTATAAGAATAAAAAAATGTTTCACATTCCGAAATCTTCTTTCGAAGATTAATGATTTGTTTATTGATCGTAAAAATATGTTTAGATTTTGGGAAGGAGCACCGTAATAACTACAGGTAGGATAGTGCGGTGAATGAAATATTAGTGCAATATTATCACTCATCTCCTTCCAAGAAAGCATTCTATTGTCTCATTAACTGCTATCATTACAAACGCTCTATTTGTCGTCCTTGGAAAAATAAATAAATAAATAAATAAAATAAAATAAAATAAATAAATTGAAGAAAACCAGGGACTAAATTTGATGTAGAAATGGATTCATTAACCATTGGTAAGTATGGGAAAATTGCTGTTTACTCCAGGAAATTCATTTTTTTTCGGCCAAAACGAACAGTTATTATCCCTTTAAGACTTACCTTAACCTTTACTAATCAATTTCGAGTGTTAAAAAGACTTTTAGCTACAAATCTTTTTTTAAAACTAAATATTGGGACAAAAGATGCAGAGACTTGCTCCTTCTGTAACGTACACCCTGAAACTCAATACTTATTTATTGAGTGCAAAGTAATTGCTCCTCTGTGGGTAAAAATGCAAGACTGGATCCACTTCAAGGTACATATGAACCGAGCGTCGGTGGAGCATGGATTTCCAGTAACACATATAAACCACTTTTAGTAGTTTGTTATACAACTCAAATAAATCCGACATGCCAAGAGATACGATGCATCACTCATTCGATCAGCCATAAAAGAGCTTTGGACTTCTCTTTAAATTTTTGGTCAGAACTTAAACCTACTTTTAAATTGTGACCTATTCTACCCCATTCATATACAGCATAGAAAGCTAGCAGAAAAATGCGTTCAAAGATCATTTTTCGGGTAATATTAAATAATGTCTTTTGGTAATTCTCTTAGTTTTACTTTTTGAAACTATATGTTGGCATGTGGCTGCATGGCTTTTGTGGCAACAAATTGACTTCATATGCATCTTTAAAAACTGGACAGTTACTGCAACTAACAGCAGCTGACATAATGCTTGGGCTATGAACTGTAATGCACTTAACAGTTCGCTGATTTTAACAAAAAGTCAGTTAATACAAACGTTATATGAAAAACATTACCCCACAAATAATTTATATTAAAATATAATGGAGACAGGCCTACAACGCAGAGAAATATATCGTAAGTGTAGGAAACATGACAAGAGACAAATTTAAGATAAGATAAGAGTTTATTTAGCCAATTATAAAAATCGGAAATCATTTTCCTTTTGGAGCAATATACAGAGTAAAATAATAAAATAATACAATAAATAAATAAATTAAGAATTTAGTTTTGAGATCAAATTAAAATGCGTCACTGCACTTGGATAAGAGCTGTTTAAAAAGCGTTTACTGCCTTTAAAAGTTAAAAGTGTACTGTTTAATAAGAAATGGAAAAGGCTGCATCCTCTCCTCCTAGAGCACCACGTCACACCACCTGTAAACCGCATTCAACAGTAAAAGAAGGTATCTTCCGGTCGGAATTATCTGCCAAATATTTTTTTCCTCAAAATTCACATCTGAAATAGTCATATTTATTGCCATGTTTTATTAGATAATTAAATATTCTATATTTGCTTTTTTATTAATAGTTGTCCATGTCTGACGATGAAAGTGCATATACATGTACATGCATGTTATGTGAATTAAGCACCTCAATGCTGTAAGAAACAACTATCGCAACTATCGTTTTTTCAAAACCTCTTAAATAAAGTTCTTCTTGATTTCTTGTGAGGTGCTGCCATCTAGCGTAATTAGGTCACGTGACTTTGTTGTACTCAGGTAGCCGCCATTTTTATTGACGCCGCCAACGTTGGCAATATTACCGTACAGATTTAAACAGCGCATTTACAAAACATAAACGTTCAGTGTTTAAATTGTCACATGGATTTTACTTATGAAAGGCAGGGTTAACTACTAGAGATCGGTGAGTACAATCGAGTGTTGATATTCCCTAGAAACGGGCATTGTTTTGAGGGGGCTGTGCACGTGAGAACAGAGAGGGGGTAGTACCTGCTATAAAAGAGATGGTGTGAGCGAGGGAAGCGTGAGTCATCAGCTCTCATACTGTTTACCTGACCCCGGTCTTTTATGTCTGATGTATAGGTCAAACTTCTGTCGTATAGAAATGTGAGGGTTTTGGCTGGATTTGTTAAAATTATACGTGCTGTTCTCGCTATGATTATCAAAACAATTACTTTGCCAACAACCATTCTCTCTCTCTCTCTCTCTCTCTCTCTTCTCTCTCTCTCTCTCTCTCTCTCTTATATCAAAATCTGCAAGCTAAGAATGAACGTTTACTAAGTGCAGTTGGCATAAAGCCCTTCTGATTCCCATTTGTGATATTCAGTATATGTGGCGATATATGGAATTTACATAAAAAGAAATGTCCAAGTTCTAGCAGTGATACCATGGCATCAAGAGACTATTCATCCCCCTTCCTGCTGTGGTCAACCTACATCCTCTCAACCCAGGATGTAGGACAGCCAAAAATTTACCCCTCATCCTTCCTTTGGGCCCTTACCCTCTGTTTACACCCCTGTGTTGATGTTGTTATTGATGTTGTTACAACTTCTGATAACTGTTAGTCATCTTGAACAAGGGCTTCTTAAGCTAGGTGTCGAAGAAATAGGGTGCAGTACCTAATACCTGAAGTCCTCGTGCTACAAAATCCTCATGTACTCCACTTGGTGTTTAAGACTTTTTGTTTGTTTGTTTCAGTTTTGTTTTACATTACTTTTCATGTATTGCCCTTGCCCATAGATAGTGCCCCCCCCCCCAAAAAAAAAAAAAAAAAAAAAAAAAAAAACTACTGACAAATATGCACTGTTTTGACCCCTATCACTAATCATAGTAATGTGGCTGAAATTGTTTGTTTTGCATCCTGTTAACTTTGTAAACAACTGATTAGGCATGTGCTGTCGATAAACAGAGTGACAAAAATAGATAATTCTGAATTTAACACGACAGACATGATGATTTAACTTAATTATTATCTTCTTATCAGTTTTCATGTTCAATTTAATTATTTTGAAATCTGAGTGTGCTCTCTGTCATGTAATGTCTGTGTTAAAACAACTTTCATTAACTGCTCCTTGTTTCACTTCAAAAACCATTTCCCCAGTAGATTGTACTGATAATGAAAAATGGCAGTCTGAACCATTTGATATTATGCTACTAGTAGATGTATTCAATACTAAACAAAATGATAAAAGAGCAGTCAATTAAAATTTGAAACAAAAAAAAGTAGCTTTGAAAGCCAAATATAGTATATGATGTGCTGAACATTTGGCTGTTAGTGACAAGTGTAATTGTAGTGGCAGAGCTCTGGCTGATAATGAACTAGATATATTGTAATTATACCAAGCAACCTTTAATTAGACATCATTATTGGTATCTCTCTGCAATAAAAACTGCAGATATCAGGCAAATGAAGATAGATACACTAAATAACACTGAGATACATCTGAACATTATGTGTTAGAACACTGAACATGACCAGCCTTAATATCCCAATTATATAGATTGGAATTTCAAAGAGAGAAAACAGACAGCTTTTTGGTAAACATCATTATTTGTTCAAGAGGTTCAGACATGAAGACAGTCATGTACTGGAATTTAGTGGGGAGGTTTGGTATGTGCTGGATATCTTCTGAATAGTATGACTGAATAGAAGTTCATGAAATTATATCTTAATAATTGAAGATCTCTATTGGTGATGTCCAGTGTGATATTTGGAATTGCCTTATCACAGGTATAAAACTGGACAGCAGTGCAGGCATGTGTACAGACACCAATCATAGCTGAACAAAATTAAGTGGCGGTATTTTTACCAAACTTGTGTAACATATTACCATGACACCTTGATATGGGGGATTTAATACCTTAGAGTTGGATTTATGTCAAAACTTGCTTTTATGAGAAACTAGAAGTGATTATTTTTATCTGCAAGTGAACAGTGGTTGACATGTGTAGTGATCATTGTGTTGGTGATCATCTGAGATAAGTACAGATGGCAGGGGGGAGTGATATTTGTAATTGAACAATAATAGATAATGATGTCAATGGTTGATATTGTGTTATGTGATTTGTGCCATTTGTGATTGTTGTAGTCAAAGTGCTTCGCTTTTGTTGAATTGGTTTACAGTACTAAAGTGCATATGTGATGCTGATTTTAGAAAACTATTCAGAAAAGATTTGCATATAGGAAATAATGCCAACTTGGTAATACTATTGCCTAAATACCATACTTTATTTTGGGGGGTTAAATTGAGAAAGAATACAGTTCGAGGAGAAAAAACACATGAAAGGATACTCCGATACTCTTTCTAATATGATGCTGTGACACTATAAAAATAGCAACATATGCCAGCAAATAGAACCTTCCTCATGTAGAGCATACACTGCCATTTTTTCGTAACTATGCAGGCCAGCGCAGTTGTTACTGTCCCGCAGGCTATTGACCACT